CGAATAGACAAAGGAGTGACCAAAACAGGAGGAGAAGAAGAAATACTCGATTGGTCTAGTGAATGAAAGGCACGATTGGTCTCAGTCGCAAATAATCTGCGCTTCACCGATGGCCAGAGTTGTTCAAAAAGAGGGTGAAGGGCGTGGCTAGAGTTGAAAGGGGCCAATGAAAAATGACTGGTTAAAAGGAGATTACGAGCATCTATAGCCTCTGCCTCCGCTTTAGGAATGGTATGAAAACGGTCAACTAAATTCTTTGAATAGCAAGGAGGAACAGGCCAAGTTTGGCCAAAACCAAGCTGGCGAGCAAAAAATTGGGGAGCATAAATCTCTACCCCTGCCTTGGCATTAGTCCCAGTCAGAATATCATGAAATAGCTCCCTCCCGGTTAAAAACTGAATCCAAATGAGTAGGGAGGTGCTCGCGCTATCTATGGTGGAAGGGGGATGTACATAGTTTGGAGTGAAAAAAGGAGAAAAAGGAAAAAAGGAAGAGATTGAATCTAAAGAATAAAAGAATGAAAAAATGTCCCTTCTAGACATATTTACAGGAGTTAAGGGCTCCATAGCTAGCCCGTAACAGCTAGCAGAAGGACGAGAAATGGATGGAGCACCAAGAGATGGAAAATAGGATCTCAACCACAGTTGAGTGAACCAAAGAGGTCCACTACCGGTGGGAGATGCACCATTCTTCAATTAAGCTTGAAGAAAAGCCATGCCTCTATAAAGGACAGCCAAAAACAAAGAACATAAATTCAAAGGCCTGCCACGCGCCAATTCGTGCGCTATAGGTAAATAACTCAGAGAAGGCTTTATACTTGGCACGCACAAAACATATTTACAAAGTCAAACTAAAAGAAAGGACACTCGCTCAGCATGGGTAGGCTCAGCGCTCAAATGATTGTGGAGGGTCTGCAGGCTTGAATAAGAATCGGTGTAGTTTTTGCCAAACTTTGGGGCGCCACCAGAAACTAAGATACCGGGAAAAATGGTATCGCCCAAAGGTGGCAGATTCACCAGGGCCCCAACATCCCTTAAGGTAATAGACATGGGGCCGAGGGGGAAAATAAAGGTGTTATACTCAGGGGACCAAAAACTCAAAGCAATCGAAAAGAGCGCTGAATCAAAAGTAGGGGGGCGAATAGAGACTTCTAACAAATCAGAAATCCTAGCGCTATCAAAAAGTGCCTTAGTAGGACCATGACCCACAAGACGAGCATGCCACCTACGAAAAGCTACATCAGATTTAGGCCAAGTGCGAATACCTCTTTCGCGAAGTGGCCCCAGCGGTAAAGAATTCAGGAATGGAGGACCCTGAGTGCAAGGAAACAGCTAACCCACCGCCGCCTGTTCAACTGCCTCTGCATTGTTGAAGAAAGGACCCAAGTAGAACTCATTACGTCCAATATCGGCAGGTGCGAGAAAACTTGGGGTTATGTATGGGCGACTCAGAAGTCTCTGAAAGTCGTCAAAACTGAAGGAATCGCTAGCTTGAGATTGTGAAGCAGCCATTGGAGAAGGAACGAAGCTTTTTCAGGGTTACGTAGCAAGGAAGCAAAAGCTGAACAGTGAATCGTGAAAGAGACGCAAAAAATATGAGGCGTGGTTTGGTAGCAGTGAAATGGCGTGTTTGGGGTTTATAAGGGTTTGCAAAACGACGCACCTTTTCAAGTTATAGAAGGAAACAATGATTGAAATTCTTGAGAATTTCGAACGTTGCTGGAAACACAAAGTGAATATGGCAAAATTCAATAATTATTATTAATTCTGCCATATTAGGGGGTAATTGTTGACACATAAAAATTCAGCCCAAATCGAACAACCCAAGAAGTAAAGCCCAATTGGAGGATCCCCAAATCAGATAGCCCAAAGAACGAAGTCCAATCGAACAAATCAAGGTGAAGACCCAAATAAGGGGGCCCAAAAATGCGGTAACGCCATCGCCCAAGTTTGCAAGTCGCCCCGAATCTGAACGAATAGAGTGTCATACGGTCGCCCAGAGCTGTTACTCTATTCTCGTCCAAACCTTCAAGTCGCCCAAGGTATCAACAATCATAACGCGTCGTGGTTATCAAGAAATGCAGTTATCAAAGCAGTTGTTAAAGCAGCCCTATCACATTCCACGATTCAAGGAATTCAATTGAAAGCGGTTGAACGATGAAAGGTAATGGCAGCAGTTAAAAGGCAGTTTTCATGACAAAATGGCCACTACGAAGAAAGTGGGTAGTTATAGGACGATCAAGCAGTTTTTAGAGTAGTTAATCACAAAGAGATCGTCTATGAAGTATAAAAGGGAGAAAGGACATAGAAGCAAAGGACGGAATCCAAAAACTCTCGAACAGAGAATATGTAATTTTCATTTCCTTAACTTTTAGACTTAAACACTTTTCTTTCAGTGACTCGTGTGCTTGCGCCCCTTGGAGGCACGTTGTTTTTCATTTCCAATTGTAAAGTCATCGCCAATAAAAGAACACCTCTTTTTGGGACTTTGTCTCAAGAGGTTTGTCCCTTACACAATCATCTGACCCTTTTTAATTGTTAGCGACTAACCCGCGCGAAACATCTACTGTGTTTTGGTTTGTTGTCTCTAGTGCGTAAGCATCAACAAACATCTACTTTGATTCCATTGCATCTAGAGGCTTATTAGGATCTCGTGTGTACTCATTTTAAGGGATAAATTAAGTCTTAAAAAAGTATTATCCCGTGCTTTGTAATCTACTGCATAGTTGCTATTTCACACTATTATGGAGGAACCCCTTCACTAAACATCTTGAGACTTTATTTCTAGAAGATTTGCAATGGCACCACCCATGTCATCGATTCGGGATTTGAAAAATGTTGTACATTACTCACTCAATTTTGAAAAATATTGCATATTACTCACTGAACTTTGAAAAATGTTATACATTACTCACTGTAAATTCGATATTTTTCAAAGTTCAACAATTATGTTAGTGAGTAACGTACAACATATTCTAAAATTCAGTGGCCAAAACTCGACATTTTAAACTTTAGTAAGCAATCTAAGACATAGATCTAAGTTCAGTGAGCAATCGAAGACATTAACTTAAGTTCAGTGACCAAAACTCGACATTTTAAATTTCAGTGATCAATAAAAAATATGAACCAAAATTCAGTGACAATTGGAACAATTAAATCCGAGGAATCAGACAAGTCTGTCGGATTATAACCAACCACAACTTAGATTTTGAGCTCAAGGGGACATGTGTATGTGCAGATTCTCTTACGTTAGGAAAAATGAAGGAATTAGTGCTATAAGAAAGTTTAGATTATAACTACGCAAGTTTAGGATAGATTCGGGGCTAAAAGGAACGTATATATGAGCAAGCAGAATATTGGGAAGTTTCCCTTAATATATAATAATTTCATCGAAGCATTGTGTGACTTAAATCAATTAATCTCGTCAGACAAGATCATTGACAGGATTTTAAATTATCCTACTAGTCAAAGGCAGTTTTTGGAGGAAAAATACAGCTGTAGTAGTAATTTTTTGCTTGCTTTCCCCCCCCCCCCCCCCCC